ATATATAATATATAATATATATATATATATATATATATATATATATTATATATTATATATATATATATATATATATATATATATATATATATATATATATATATATATATATATTATATTATATATATATATATATATATATTATATATATATATATATATATATATAATATATATATATATATATATATATATATAATATATATATATATATATATATATATATATATATATATATATATATATATATTATATATATATATATATATATATATATATATATATATATTATATATATATATATATATATATATATATATATATATATATATATATATATATGAATATATACATACATACATATGTGCATGTATATATACATATGGATACACACACATGCGCATGCGCGTGCGTACGTGTATATGTATGAATGTTGTATGTCTATATATATTATATATAAGTAGAGAGAGAGAGAGAGAGTGACCTTTTGCCCTTTCCTTACTTCCCTTCTTTACTTACCACTCACCTCCGTCCTCCTGACTGAGGAAACCATACTTGTAGACCAATGGCAACAAGATCCGAGTCTGAGCAAAACGTGTTCGTGACGTGTTTTCGGCGAGTGGCCATCATTTCATCATGGTAGATTTGGTGACCTTCGACCTAATGCATCTGGTCCGATATTGTGCCATTTTCCCCATCAGCCAGAATGAAAAATATCATATTATATTCCGTATTTCTTCTTCTTTTTTTTAATTACTGTTTACAGGAAAAAAGTAAAATATAATGAATGGATGTAATTTTGGTCTCTGATGTTGCAATACTTGTCCGACGTTGCGGAAGGCAAACTATTGTGATTTTACGCTCTCTCTCTCTCTCTCTCTCTCTCTCTCTCTCTCTCTCTCTCTCTCTCTCTCTCTCTCTCTCTCTCTCTCTCTCTCTCTCTCTCTCTCTCTCTCTCTCCTCAAGGTTATTTTAATACTAAATACCTAATAATTATGACATTAGTATTACTAATAATGAGACAACAATAATAACTCTTACTACTGTTACTATGAATAACACTAATATTAACGATAACATTTAAAACAATAAGACGATGCGGGGCCGTGTTCGAAAACTGTGAAACCAACACAGATGCAACACGAAGTCCTTCCAGATAACGTTTTCAAGCATCTTATCGCCACGGTGATTACGACATTGATCATTTCTTCTTGTTTTCTTTTTATTTCTTCTTTTCTTTTCTTTTTTTTTCTTTTCTTTTTTCTTCTTCTTTTTTCTTTCTTTCTTTTTTTTCTTTTTCTTTTCTTTTCTTTCTTTTTTCTTTCTTCTCTTCTTTTCATTTCTTCTTCTTTTCTTTTCATTTCTTTTCTTTTCTTTCTTTTCTTCTTTTCTTTTCTTTTCATTTCTTCTTTGTTCTTCTCTCCTTCTCTCTTCTCTCTCTCTCTCTCTCTCTCTCTCTCTCTCTCTCTCTCTCTCTCTCTCTCTCTCTCTCTCTCTCTCCTCTCTCTCTCTCTCTCTCTCTCTCTCTCTCTCTCCTCTCCTCCTCTCTCTCTCTCTTCTCCTCTCTCTCTCTCTCTCTCTCTCTCTCTCTCTCTCTCTCTCTCTCTCTCTCTCTCTCTCTCTCTCTCTCTCTCTCTCTCTCTCTCTCTCTCCTCAAGGTTATTTTAATACTAAATACCTAATAATTATGACATTAGTATTACTACTAATGAGACAACAACAATAACTCTTACTACTGTTACAATGAATAACACTAATATTAACGATAACATTTAAAACAATAAGACGATGCGGGGCCGTGTTCGAAAACTGTGAAACCAACACAGATGCAACACGAAGTCCGTCCAGATAACGTTTTCAAGCATCTTATCGCGACGGTGATTACGACATTAATCATTTCTTCTTGTTTTCTTTTTACTTCTTCTTTTCTTTCTTTTCTTTTCTTTATTTCTTCTTTTCTTTTCTTTATTTCTTCTTCTTTTCTTTCTTTTCTTTTCATTTTCTTCTTTTTCTGCTCTTTTCATTTTTTTCTTCTTTTCTTTTCTTTTCATTTCTTCTTTTTTCTTTCTTTCTCTCTCTCTCTCTCTCTCTCTCTTCTCTCTCTCTCTCTCTCTCTCTCTCTCTCTTCTCTCTCTCTCTCTCTCTCTCTCTCTCTCTCTCTCTTTCCTCTCTCTCTCTCTCTCTCTCTCTCTCTCTCTCTCTCTCTCTCTCTCTCTCTCTCTCTCTCTCTCTCTCTCTCTCTCCTCAAGGTTATTTTAACACTAAATACTAATCATGTCGTTAGTATTACTAATAATGAGACAACAACAATAACTCTTACTACTGTTACAATGAATAACACTAATATTAACGATAACATTTAAACAATAAGACGATGGGCCGTGTTCGAAAACTGTGAAACCAACACAGATGCAACACGAAGTCCGTCCAGAAAACGTTTTCAAGCATCTTATCGCGACGCTGATTACGACATTGATCATTTCTTTGTTTTCTTTTATTTTCTTTTCTTTTTTTTTCTTTTCTTCTTCTTTCTTTTTTCTTTTTCTTTCTTTTCTTTCTTTTCTTTCTTTTTTCTTTTCTTTTTTTTCTTTTCATTTCTTCTTCTTTCTTCTTCTTTTCTTTTCATTTCTTCTTCTTTTCTTTTCATTTCTTTTCTTTTTTTTCTTTCATTCTTTTCTTTCTTCTTCTTTTCTTTTCTTTTCTTTCTTCTTTTCTTTCATTTCTTCTTCTTCTTCTTCTTCTTCTTTTCTTTTCTTTTCTTCTTATTTTCTTTCACTCTTCTTTTTTTTCTTTTCTTTTCTTTTTTTTCTTCTTTTCATTTCTTTTTTTTTCTTTCATTTCTTCTTCTTTTCTTTTCATTTTTTCTTCTTTCTTTCATTTCTTCTTCTTTTCTTTTTCTTTTCTTTTCTTTCCATTTCTTCTTT